TTGGAATCCAACCCTAAATTCAATGCAAAAGCCGATGACTGTTACTTTGTTGGATATGCTGCTCGAACTGCTTACAGGGTTTACAACAAGAAGACAAAACAGATCGTAGAATATTTTGATGTTCGTTGGCTCGAAGAAAATGAGACAGATGCAAGAGTGGGTCCTGATTGGCTATTTGACTACACATCTCTTTTCAAATCATTCAATGTGTCCTCAGATAATCAAGCTGGATCTACGTCAAATTCGAAGATCATTATTGAAGATGAAGAAGACAAAGTTGTCTACCGACCACCACTAGTTTCTTCAAATCCTCCAATGGTGCCCTCTGTTCATACTAAATCTTCTGAGTCTTCTCCTCAACAACCTTCTCCTGATGCTCTTGCTACTCCTCTAACTCCAGTGGAAAGAGAGTTCATTAACCACAAGACTTCCCCTGTAACTTCAAATCTGATGGAACTTCTCTTTCCAGAAAGTATTGCTGAAGAGTTTGTAGCAGATCCTCCGAACGAACCTTATTCATCTACTGTGGATTACACAGCAAATGATGGAGCGATTAACATTCATACTCTTCCAGTCTCAGTCAATGATATCAGCTACGAGATCCCTGCACGCATTCAGCGTGACCATCCAATAGAGAACATTATTTGCTAGCTGGGCGACGGTGTTCAAACGCGAAGTCAAAGTGGAGATGTTAATACGTGTCTCTATTCTTGCTTTATTTCTCAGATTAAGCCCAAAAATGTTGAAATGACTCTGAATGAGCCCAGTTGGGTTGACGCCATGCATGATGAACTTATTCAATTCGAAAAGCTCGGGGTTTGGAAGTTGGTGGAGCTGCCAAAAGGAAAGAAATCTCTTGACACCCGATGGGTCTTTCGGAATAAACAAGACGACTCAGGTGTAATTGTGCGTAACAAGGCAAGATTAGTGGTTCGCGGGTTTCGGCAAGTTGAGGGTCTTGATTATACGGAAGTTTATGCTCCGTTCACTCGCTTGGAAGCCATTTGTATCTTCCTTGCATATGTTTCCTATATGAACTTCACCGTATAACAAATGGATGTAAAGACGGCTTTCTTGTACGGCAAGGTCAAGGAGGAGATTTACATTGACCAACCACCCGGTTTCGTTAACTTAAAACTTACCAACCATGTTTACAAGTTAGACAAAGCTCTGTATGGGCTGCATCAAGCTCCTAGAGCTTGGTATGCTACCCTAACTCAGCATTTGCTCAACCACAGCTATTCCCGAGGCACCATTGATCAAACCCTATTTATCAAACATGTCGGTCCAGGTCAAATTCTTGTTCAAATCTATGTGAACAACATTATTTTCGGGTCGACAAGCCAACAACTTTGTAAAGAGTTCGAAGCAGTGATGAAGAAGAGGTTCGAGATGAGTTCGCTTGGGGAGATGACCACGTTTTTGGGGCTTCAGGTCCAACAATCTTCAACCGGAATCCTTATTCACCAAGCAAAGTATGTGGATGATGTGCTGGAGAAGTTCGGGTTCCGAGATGTGAAACCTGCTCTTACACCCATGGCAGAAAGACCTCTATTGACCCCTGATCTTGAGGGTGAATCCGTAGATCAGACGCATTATCAATCAATGATCGGATCACTCATATATTTGACTGCCAGTCGCCCAGACGTAATGTTTGCGTTCTGTCAATGTGCTCGCTACCAGGCTAATCCTAAACTCTCTCATTTAATTGTTGTTAAAAAGATTTTTCGGTATCTCAAAGGTTGCCCAAAACTGGGTCTTTGATATCCGAAAAATCCAGAATTTGACCTTTATGCTTTTGCAGACAACAACTATGGCGGGTGTGAGCTTGATAGAAAATCGACTTCAGGAGGATGCCAATTTATGGGCGATAGATTTGTTTCATGGCAGTGTAAGAAGCAGCATACCATTTCCACCTCCACAGCAGAAGCGGAATATGTCTTTGCGTCTACATGTTCTCAAGTCATCTGGATCCAACATCAGCTGTTGGACTACGATATGAATTTTCAAGAAACCCCTCTTTTCTGTGATAATGAGGCTGCGATCCAAATTGCCAAAAACACGGTCCAGCACTCAAAAACCAAGCACATCGACATCAAAATTCATTTTATAAGAGAATGTTATGAGCGTTCGCTCATTCGGCTAGAACAGGTCCGCTCTGATAATAATGTAGCAGATCTGTTCACCAAGCCGTTTAACAAAACTCGATTCGATGTGCTGGTTAATTTTCTGAAAATGATCCGTTTTGAGGATTAATTTTTTTAGTGTTTAGTTTAGGATAAATTTGCGCATTATTTTTTTTCCTTTTATTTTATGCACAAATTTAGGGGGAGAAAAATCAAAAATCCAAAAACATTAAAAAAATTAGAAAATCCTGAAACAACAGAAAATTAGAAAATCAAAAAACATTAAAAAAACAATAAATTAAAAATAAATATATGTGTTTTGTGATATGATTTGGGAAGTGATATTAACAAGTGATAACGAGCAATCTGAGTCTGTGTAAAGTACCAAAACTGGATTGTCTAGGCTCTGTATTTGATGCGCTGGTAGGCACGAAGAATTTAATGGACTTGACTAGGTGCAGATGAACTTATGGAATCTAGAGACTTGATAAATATTGACCTAGATAGTTCCGTTTAGCCTGAAAATACAACGCTTGGATAGGTTGAGCAGGGAGATATACATGAGAATCCATCAGTCACATTAAGAGAACCCGTATCTAGAACTGTGGTTTAACTTTTCCTCGATGTACGGATTTTGTCCTTAATTCTGGTATTGATGGAGCAACTGGGGAATTCCGATAAATTAGGTCTGTATAAAATTATTTTCTTTCTTTCTTACTGTTAGTCATATGTTGCCTCCTTTACGTGATTGGAAGAGATCCGACCTGGACTGCAACATATGCAAATCTATTTCTCTGCATATTATATCTATGAAATTCTTCCTATCTGTTAGCCATATGTTGTCTCATTTGCATGCTTAACAATCCGACCTGGTACACAGCATATGCAACCTTCTACTTCTCAATCCCTCTAATTCTATAATTAATTATAATCCAAATCTCTTCTCTCTATGAATAATAGTCTGCTCATCTAAAGTAAGGAGTATCTCGGAAGTTCGTGATTATTGGGGTATATCAGGAAGCGGGAAACATGTTCTAGTACATCTAAAATTGAACAATTCTAGATTGTATGTAGATGTCACTGCTCAATTTAGTTGGACAACAATATCCGTGGCTGTCGTTAGATAGATGGTCTTTAGGAATTTTATCTAGTAACATAGGGTCAATCTGTCTTGTCACTTATAGCATGTCCAAATTTATCACAAAATTTTTTCGTGTTTAAGTGGACCACAATACCGACGATCGACCAGATCTATTCATGAAGGAGAAGGAACTGATAAATGAACAACGATTTTCTAACAACTTTGATCCCTCATCTCAAATGGTTAAAAACAATTTATATAGGATTAAAATTAAATTTTAATTTTTTGTCGTTAATAGTATTTCCATTTTATTTTATTTTAGTCTATTCTATTTTTATTTTTATTTTTATTTTTATCTTAGTTGTAAGTTTACTTTTAGTTTTATTTTTTAAATCCTTAGGAATAATAAATTTTAGTCATTTAATCCTCAAAATGGTTTGTTTTTTTTTTTAAATGTTTGAGTATGGGTATCGTTTTAATTATTAAAAGGTTGAGGGGGAGAAAATGAAAATTCTTTGTGTATAAATAGGGTGTGTGCGGTGAAGACTTTTACCGGCACTGTTTCCATTTGCTTTTCTCTCAACCGCACACACAGCTCTCTCTCTCTCTCTCTCTCTCTCTCTCTCTCTCTCTCTCTCTCTCTCTCTCTCTCTCTCTCTCTCTCTCTGTCTCTCTCTAGCACTTTGAATATTCCATCATTTTTCTTGAATTCAAAGCTTATTTCTGGTAATTCTCAAGAACACGGCTCTAATAATGATTTTTTTATGAAAATCGATCATCGTTTGATGTTTTATCGAAGAATCTTATGTTTTGTCTGCAAGTGCTACCGCACACAGTGTGTGCGGCTACACTGAATTGTGAACGGCTGAGTGTTTGCGGCTACGGCTGCACACTTGCACGTGTGCGGCTGTGTGCACTTTCATGTGCGGTTGCACCATCTCCAAAATTAATTTTGCCCTAATGATTACTTGTGTCTCTTTTCAGATTAAGATGGGAGACATGGAATTTGCTAACGTCCACAACTCTGCAATTTTTATTGAAGATCCTCTTGCAGCTCACAATGACTTAAATTTCATTGTTGATGGTTTGAAGAAGTCTTGCCTGGTTCATGCATTAACCACATGCCCTGCAATTTACCAGAATTTGATCAAGGATTTCTGGAGAAGCGCAGTTGTGATAAAGGATAATCAGGGTGAAAAGTTCAATGAAGCGACAATTGAAGGAAAGAAAGTTCAAGTGACAGAGAGCATCATTCGGGAATCTCTCCAAATAGACGACAGATCTGAGTACACTATGGAGATTATCATTCATCAAACCCAGGACATTTTAGACCACATGGGGTATGAGGGAACTTTTCCCCCTACCATCAAAAATTGCTTCCTCCTTGTTGGAAATATCTGGCTCACGTGTTTGTGAGCTGTATTTCTGGTAGTAGATCCGGTGCAAATGAAATCTCCCTGGCTAACACTTGTGCAATCACAGCATTGGCTACACAAATCGAGTTCAACTTCTCCAAGTTCATAATGCATGAGCTGGTTCTAAAGCTTGAGGGGAACAAGAGGGATAAGTTCTTGATGTACCCAAGATTTCTGCAAATCATCTTCAATGTTATGCATCCCGAACAGCGAAGAGGAAACGAAACTTTGGATCTTAAATCCGTTGGTCCAAGTGCTTTCAGACTTAAGAAACAGAAGAGAGGCGAAAAATTTGTGTTTGAAGGAAAGTTCCCTTTGATAAAATTCGGAATCTTTGAAGAGAATGATCGATCAGAATCAGAAGAGCAGTCCATCCCTATGGAATCTGAAGACATTGTTCATTCAACCACCGAGCCAGAAATTGAGGAGGTTCATGTTTCTCCCACAGCCGCTGTGGCTGAGGAACATGATTATCAGAAAGAAGATGAAACACTATCTGCTCAAGAGGATGATGATGATGATCTGTATGGTGACGTAGAGTTTTTGAAGGAAATTGACTTTACTGGGATTAGTGATGACATCCCGACAAATATAGAATTTGATCTTAATGATGAATATTTCGGTCCTTTTCCCGGAATCCCCAGTAGCTGTCTTAATAAATTCGATGAAGTTGCTTCTTCAGCAACCAAGATTAGGGAAGAAGGAAACGTTCTCAAAAATTTTCTCTCTACATCAAAGCCCATGGAGGTTGCATCAAGCCAAGGAGATGTGACATCAGATATTCCTCCCTTTGTGTCATCCATCTCAACATCTGCTCTTATTGTTCCCGATTCAACTCAACCTCAGACCTCTCAGTCTTCTATGGAAACAAGTCAATAATTTGCAAGTCTGGAGGTACCCACTGTGGGCAGTGCACCTCAAGCTTTCTCCACAGTCACTGCAACCACTGCTTACTCTCCACCAAAACAATTTGATGAAGGTCCGAGTACTATGTTTGAGACTGGTGGCTCATCATCCATTCTAGAATATTCTCCCACCATACCTTCATTAGATGAAGCTTCTATAAGGTTGGCAAAACACCTGGCCCAACACAGTCCAACTTCCTCTCGTGGCAAAGGAATTTCATTTAGAGAGGAGCGCTCAGGTGATGACAAATCTTCCTCGCCTGATCTTCGTGAAGAAATTGGGATTCTCCGTCAAGGCCTCATTGAAAAGACAATTCAGATGGATCAAATCACGTCTTACATTGAAGAGCTCAGAGCGAAGGATGAAGAGAAGACCAAACAGATTAAAGATCTACAAATGAGTCTTGGATCAGTGACAGCCAGCTACTTCAATCTCAAGAACGCTTCGTATGACACTTTTGGAAATAGAGTCAAGGTCCTTTTCCAACAGCCACATGGAATCGATGATCCTCCCATAGCCCACTCACATTCTGCATCTGACGATCTTCCATTCAATCCACCTGCTCCAAGAAAAACCACTGTTGTCAACAGATTTGAAAAGGAGCTAGAAGGAAGCAGAGCCCGAATAACGATCAAAGAGGGCAAAAGAACCGTAACAGCCAACCAAAGCGAAGATCTTCTATTCATGAAAAACTCAAATGAGAATCGCAAGGCAAAAGACCCTGTTTTGACTGTGATGGATTTAAAGAAAAGAAAATTCGGTAACGAGTTTGGAGACAGGTCCAGAATCCGAATGTGGGCCTTTGATCCAGAGACAAATTTGTGGGTTGTAAAACGAAACTTAGGAACCTCTGAGTTTTACAAAAGCAGCCACGATTTCAACTCATGGACCAAAATTGATCTAGCTGAACTATCCAGGGCCCCATTCCACAATCCATCAGAAGATCCAAGTGCTTCAAACTTCAAGAGGTTTCTTGACAAGCAAGTCAAAGAAAATTTTCCCAAAATGAAGACTGCAAGAGCCCTATACCGAAAAGATAAAGAAGTTCTTGATCCAGAATCAGGCGAACCCATGAAGATCATTCTTTGGCCTGCTACAAAACAACATAAAGAAATTCATATCCCTCAACACTTCCAGGAGGGATATCTTGATAAAATGGAATTTTGGGCTTATGATGACGAAACTGCAACTACTGCTATTAAATTCAAGGATCGGGAAAAAGTTATGAGGTTGATCAGTGCCAAAGATCTTCTTCGATTCAGAGAGAGGGGTATCCGAACTCTGTCTCATCACCAGATTATTTGCAGAAAAGACGTCATGGAGGCTGCTGCTAAAGAATTTACTGCAATGGTGGCTACAATCACTAATGGAAGGATGTGGATGCGCTCGATGGGAAGATTGGATCTAAAGTTGTATGAGAAGCCAAATGAATGAAGATTAAGACTATTCTAGCCTCAAACCAAGGGGGAGATTGAAAGTCCATAATATTGTGGTTTGAGCTAGGCATTAATTTTGTATAGATCTTATTAGAATGGCAGAGTATGTGTGGCAGTATAGCGATTTAGACTTGATGTATGTGTGCAGCCTCACATGTGTGTGCGGCCGCACACAGTGTGTGCGGCCGCACATGCGTGTATGGTTTCACACTCGTGTGTTGGTGGCGGTACTATTTATAGGAGTTGATTTGTGTTAGATTGTACTTGTTGCTGAACAGTGCAGTGGGTGTACTTTTTCAAGGTGTACTTGACGTTTATGATATAGATGTGTGCATGCTTGATGCGATCTTTCTTCTACTCCTTCTACACTTCATTTTGATTGTTATTTTCTTCATTGATTACAGAATTGGATCCATATTTAGGGACTAGCAAATGTCATTAATAAACACAATCACAAACCAATCCAACATGGATCTGCATACCCGATTCATGAGATCCATGAATGCGGCTAGAGCATTGGTAAGCTCGAAGGGCATCACCACGAACTCCTAATGACCATAACGAGTCCGTAAGGCTGTCTTCTACGTATCCTCCTCTCTGACCCTCATATGATGATGACCCAAGTGCAGATCAATCTTGGAAAACCAAGATGCAACCTGGAGTTGGTCAAATAAATCATCAATCCTCAGGAGTGGATAATGGTTCTTCACTATTAGTTTATTCAGTCTCGGTAGTCTATACACACCCGGTGCAATCCATCATTCTTTTTCACTAATAGGATCGACGCTCCCCATGGAGAACTAATCGGTATAATAAATATGTTGTCTAACAACTCATGCAGCTACGTAGACAAATCTTGCATCTCTGGAGCTACTAATAGATTAGGTGCTTTGGCTAACAGAGCTGCACTAGGAACCAAGTCAATCCGAAAATCCACCTAAAACATTGCAAAAATACGGTCCAAAAATTTCGATTTAAAATCATTAATAAAACCATAATTATCATTCATCGAATAAAAAATCATAAGTCGTGTATCTCAAAAATAATAACATTTGTCAATGTATCAAAATCCCATGTCCAAATATCAGAGTAAATCATCACAGGCTAAAAATTGTGGTGTGTGCCATGCAGTCATCCCGAGCTCTTCCCTTTGCTAGTGGAAGTACTTGAAACTAAAATTGAAAACTGTAAGCACGAATATTAGTGAGTATCCCCAAACTACCACATAACACATACATAATATATAATAGCATACATTGGGCCATGCCCCCTACATCGGGCCCTGCCCGGCATCAGACGAATCCGACATCGGGCCCCGCCCGGCAGTGAACCGAAGTCCGGTATACATATAACATATCAACAAGCATATAACATAAACATAATGACATTCCTCAGTCTTGCCCCAACATCGGACCGAAGTCTGGAACATAAAAATATACACATGCAAGGATCACGAAGACATTCAGCATACAAACATTCCCCATGCTTTCCCCGACATCGGACCGAATTCGGAAACATATACTCTACATCGGGCTACTCCCGACATCGGACCTAAGTACGGCCTAACTAACATACATAAACGCGCTGACATTGGTGCCTTCGACCCGTTCCTACTGTAGGAAAACTCACCTCGTAAGCTAACAGTGAGATCTCGCGTAAGGAATCTCTTACAGCTACTCCAACGACTCCCTGACTATTATTATTACAATAATCTCTTAGTCAAAATCTGATAATCCTTCTTCGGGTAAAATGACCATTTTACCTCTTGGTCAAAGTCAACCTTCTGGTCAAAGTCAACATTCTAGGTTGACTTAACTCGTCGAGTTGACCCGTCAAGTCGCCAAATTCTATAAGTCATAAATCTGGGAATCGTGATCCAAATCATCGAGTCACCCCCTGACTCGCCGAGTTCCCATTGCTACCTATTGTGATTAAGCGAGTAAACTCGTCGAGTCATCCTCACACTCGCCGAGTTCTACCTGGTATAGAGTCGGTAAAAATCGAATCAAATCATCGAGTTCCTCCATTGACTCGACAAGTTCATAAGTCTGCTTGGCTCTTCTTAAGGGATTAAGCCCCTACTCTTCAGATCTAAGATTCCTACTGCTCATGCACACTGAAAAATGTCCTTTTAAGGGTAAATTATCCAACTTTACCCATTTATGCCTCTACTTTGTGGGTTTAACTCTAACCCCAACTCTCTAGGACTTAGATTTTGGTTGACAAGTCATCCAAAGCATATGAACATAGATCTAGGCATTAGGCATCATTTGAACACATAAAGTTTCTGCCTTTATCACCATGCATGGCCTTTTGGGGCTAAAAAGGCCAAAATGACATCTTAGAGTTGCATAGGAGCTCCAACGGCATAAAGTTTGTACCTTTATGCCTAGGTCCTTGATCTGGAAGAATACCCACTTGGGTCATCCATTCTCCAAAGGCTAACATTCTTGGACCAAAAACCCCCATAAAGATGAAATAAAGAGATCTAAGAAACCATTTAGCAAGTTTGAGACTTGCTTACCTGAAAATGTTGAATATGAGGTGTAGTTTATAGATCTACTCTTTTCTTCTTGATCCCTCTAGCTTCCTATTCTTCCACAAGCTTCAAAAACAAAATATTTCTCTCAAAAAGGTCTCACAAGCTCACACAAGGTACTAGCGTTTCGTGGCTAGGGTTTTGGGACTTAGGGTTGTAAATGAGGAGGGCATAAAGGGTTTAAGATGCTTAAATAGGGTACAAAACCCCGTAATTAGGGTTTCATTATGGTAGCCCTACTCGTCAAGTTGGGGCTCCCAACTCGTCGAGTAGGTTTTTTAAAACCCGCGTCCCTTTTTTATCTCTACTTGACGCATTTGTGGCTTCCAACTCGTCGAGTTGCTTTGTAAATATGATTAATTTATTTATTAAATGTGTACCAGGAACCAGGCATAACAATTGTCCCCCACTTGTCTTAGACTTCGTCCTCGAAGTCTGCTGCGTCGGGAAACAACTCCGGGTAGTGCTCCCTCGTCTCCTCCTAGGGCTCCCAAGTCCACTCTGAACCCTTGCGGTGCTGCCACTACATCTTCACCAGCTCAAACCTCTTGTTCTCAGCTCCTTTATCTTCTTGTAGAGAATAGCTACTGGTCTGTCAATGTAATTCAGGCTGTCATCAACCTGAATATCCTCTAGAGGCATAACTACCGAGTCATCCGCTAAGCACTTCCGTAGTTGAGAACAGTGGAAAGTGTTGTGGATCTGTCTAAGCTCTGCTGGAAGATCCAAACAGTAAGCGACCCGGCCTACTCGAGCCAACACCCTGAACAGACCGATGTATCTGGGGCCCAACTTGTCCCGCTTCCTGAATCGGATGACACCTTTCCAAGATGACACCTTCAGGAGGACCATGTGCCCCACCTAAAACTCCAAGTCTGAGTGGCGCTTGTCGGCATAGCTCTTCTACCTACTCTGAGCAGTCTAGATCCTACTCCAAACTTGTTGGATCCTCTCAGTAGTCTTGAGTACTAATTTAGTACTCCCAATGACTCTCTGATCAACCTCTCCCCTAAAGATTGGGGTCCTACACTTCCTCCCGTAGATCATCTCGAAGGGAGGCCGGTGTACGCTGGCATGGTAAATGTTGTTATACGAAAATTCCACTAACGGAAGATACGTATCCAAACTGCCACCAAAATCTAAAACACATACATGTAGCATGTTCTCGAGAGTCTGAATCTTCCTCTCACTCTGCCCATCCTTCCGAGGGCGGAAGGCGGTACAAAAGTGGAGACGAGTACCCATCTCATCGTGAAACTGCTTCCAAAATCTGGAAGTGAAACGAACATCTTGGTCGGACACAACCGAAACAGGCACTCCATGTCATGCCACTACCTAACATATGTAGATCTCGGCCAACTTCTCGGCCGATATACTCTCCTGAATCAGGATAAAGTAAGCACTCTTGGTCAACCGACCCACGATGACCCATATCGAATCTACTCCTCGTGCAGTCCTGAGAAGCTTCATGATGAAGTCCATAGTGATATCTTCCCATTTCCACATGGGAATATCAAGCGGCTGTATCTTGCTGTAGGGGTGTTGGTGCTTGGCCTTGACCTTCCTGCAGGTCAGGCATCGCTCTACATACCATGCTACATGCCGCTTCATGCAAGGCCACCAGTAATCAAGGCGAAGGTCCAGATACATCTTTGTCGCCCCGAGATGGATGGAGAACATTGACTTATGGGCCTCATCCATCAAAATATGTCGTACCCCGCACCAGTACGGAACCCAGACCCTCCCATGCAGGGTCAACAACTCGCGGCTATCATAATCAAAGGAGGCCATTTGGCCTATGATCCGTTCGCACTTCCGGTGCTCCCCTTCACGCCTTCAACCCGCGCCTCCCGGATCCGCTCTAGCAATGGGTTAATCACTGCCATCCTCATACATATGTCTCAAAATGGGGTTGCCACTGCCATCCTCAGGGCATTGGCTACCACATTGGCCTTGCCTGAGTGGTAAAGGATCTCACAATCATAATCCTTCACCACATCTAACCACCAACGGTGCCTCATATTCAGATTCGGCTAATCTATAAGGTACCTCAAGCTCTTGTGGGCCATGTAGATGGTACAATGAACCCCATAGAGGTAATACCACTAAATCTTGAGGGCGAAAACCAGAATCCCCAGCTCTAAATCATTCATTAGATAGTTCGCCTCTTGAGGCTTCAACTGCCTCGATGTGTAAGCTATCACGTGACCTCATTGCATCAAAACCGCACCCATGCATATGATTGAAGAATCACAGTAAACCACTAATTCTTCGACTCCCTATGGAAAGGTCAGAATCGGTACCTCTCATAACCGTTGTCTGAGAGTCTCAAAGGTTGCCTGCTGCTCAGACCCCAGTGGAATGTCACCAACTTTTTTGTTAGTCGAACAACAATTTTGGAGAAATCCTAAGTGAATCTCCGGTAGTAGCCCGCTAGCCCAAGAAAACTCCAAATCCTA